TGCCATTGCAACGCTGGGAAAGCTACGACAAGGACCTGCAAGCATAGCACCTGGGCACCTAGCTGAAAGCAACAACTGTGGGCCTCCATGTGACACCCAAAGGTTACTCGGTAAGCAGCGCGTAAACAACCAAGCCAGACTGTTGACATGACTCGTCTCAGCAGCGACCCCGTACGGAACCGGGCCGCTGGATAACTAGGGTTCGACTACTTGTTAAACGTCGTGCAGCTACTGGGCATGGCACGAGACGACGTAGCAAGCCTTATCCATTTCGCATCCTGGCTAACGTTGAAACGCGGGCACCAAACACTAGATCAACGAATCGTTGCGCCTGCTCAGGGGGTAGTCCAGGACAAGCTCAGAACCATATAAGGATTCGCCAAATCGTTAACTTTGATGCGCAACAGACGCAGCCGCTCAGCAACTTGTCGTCGAGACTTGACTTGGACGCGACCCTGATGTTAGCTCAGACCAAGAGGCAGATCCTGAAAGTGCTGGGAGACAGCCTCTTTGTCAGGAGGGCAGAACTCCAAGGCTACGAATCCCTGGAATATGGGCTCCAAAGGAACTGGGCCACGAGTTGAGTGAGCAAGGCGTGCACGACGCCAGTTGGACACAATACGCTAACTACGGCCACACAGGTGAAGTGTGGCAGCCCGCAGCACTGAGTCAGCCAGTGTCCGCACCCGCCGAACGGTATTGTACCCGTCTGGCAAGCCCACACCCACAACGAGCAAGAGCAGACGCAGCAAAGGGAACCGAGGCAAGGCAGGACAAACCCAGGCAAGGCATCCTTCGCTTTCGCCTCCGACGAGCGGGGAATCTGGAGTGCCGCCTGGCCCGAGGGCCCTTCATGGGTCGCAGCGGATTGGGACCACGCGCAACAAGACCCAGACGCCTTCGCAGTCCTTGCGTGGGCGCTCATGGCTGCCCCTGCGTCTGGACCACCAAGCCTGGGCTTCCCGGCCGGTGGGAAGGATCTCTCCGAGAGCGGGGGCCCGCGGCAACGGGGCGAAGCCCTTGCGGAGATCTGGTGGTGAGGCTGTCAACCGTCCAGTTTCCACCCTTGCGCCATCCTCCTCTCTCCTCGTCTTGCCTCCTCTGGCGCTTCACTTCTCAGCGCCGGCGTCCGCCCGCCGCCGTGGAGGGCCTTTGAGAGCCAGGACGCCCAGGAGGCGACAGCGCAGGGCCTCTCGCTCCAGCTCCGATCGAGGAGGCGATCCCGACGGAGGGCACGGGGAACCTGAGGTCCTCCGGCTGCCCTCGGCCTCCCTCGGGCCCTTCCCCAGGGCTCCAGGGGTACATGTTACAGAGAGCTGCTATTGTTTTGTGTCCGGCTTGTAGAGCGACGTGTTCTGTAAGTTCCGGGCGCCGCTCTTGCTACCCTTGTAGGTCTGGCATCGGCCCGTGCCCACCTGCCCGTTTTCTTTCTGGACGCACTGCGTTCAAAAAAACTGTTCTCAAATCTCACATTGTTGCCTGCCCGACATTTTCTGGGCTGCTGTTTTATACCCGCTTTGGGGAAATTAAGAGCGAAAAGTGGGAAACGGGACAAACCAACTCGGGCTGGACGAAAGCGCAGGGAAGGGAAATGGGGGGGGGGTGATTACGACGTCTGCTGCATGCAGCTGGTTTCCGCCCCGCCGCCCGGCCCATTCCTCGATACATGGACGCCATTCCCAGCTACGTGAGCTGATCACAGTCAAAAGCCCTAATAAGGACGCGCGACTTTGCTCAGGGTACCCTTGCGTCCTTGCTCTTCCCTGCTCTTGCGTCCTTGAGGTTTTTTCGTCGTCCGCCGCCCCAAGAATCCCAACTTCGGCTTCCAAGGGTCCTGCGTCCTTACCGCGTGTCCTTATGAGGGTTTTTGACCGTATCTGCCCCTGCCCTCTCTGCTATCCCACCCTTCCGCCCCCCGCGAGGGGCGCCCCCGGCGCTTTCACGAAGAACTAAAAAGCCTGGAGGCCTGCCGCCGCCCCCTGTATAAGCCCCTTGGTCGGGCCCCTCCCCAGGGCCCATGGGCCTTCAGAAGGCGCCGCGTGGCGAAGAGCTGGTCCTGGGTGGTTTTCTGGAGGGTTCCAGAATTCCTCGTGGCCCTTCAGGGGAGCATGGGGTCATGACCATGATGCGTTCCAGGTTTCCCCAAGTTTGCAGGGTGTCCTGTATTTCTAAGTGTTCCGAATCGGCTGCGCCGCTAGGTACTCGGGAAATCCTGGAACGTATCCCGAGCCAATCTCACCATGACATCGTTCTCGCCCTCGCATTGGGGATTTCGTCCAGGCTTCGTCGGATTAGGCCGACGTCTGGGCGTAATCTGGACGACATCTGGACGAAACCTGGACGAAAGGGCGAAGAGGGGTGGCCGAACCTTGGACGACATGAGGTCGACATCGCGCTCATGATGGGCCGTGGAGGTCCGCAGAGGCTCCCCGGAAGGCTTACCCGGCCGGTCCCGGGCGGGGGGAGCGCCGGTGCCCAGGACCCCCGAGGACCCCCCGAACTCTGAGGGCCGGGCGCGTCACGTCTCTGAGCCGGGCGCTCTTTCGCCCGGAGGAGGAGGAGGAGGAGGAGGAGGAGGAGGAGGAGGAGGAGGAGGAGGAGGAGGAGGAGGAGGAGGAGGAGTAGGAGAGGGAGGAGGAGGGAGGGGAGGAGGAGGGGTGAGGAGGAAGGAGGAGGAGGGTCAGGAGGAGGGGGGGGGGTAGGAGGAGAGGAGAGGACTGAGGAGGAGGAGGAGGAGGAGGCCCTGGGGCTCTGCACCGATCCGGCTAGAAGACTGCCGCAGGAGCTCGGGCTCCAGGGTCCCGGCTGCGATGTCTCACGTTGTTCAGGAGGGGAAACAAACACACAGACAAAATTCATCGTCGACTCCCAGGAAATATGGGAAACTATGGGAAGTGGGGGGGAAGACATAAACCAAGAAAGTATGGGAAACTGTGGGATTCCTGTTGTTTGCGTGTATTTATTTGTGTGTCCTGGGGCCCCAACAGATCTGTTGTATCTTTCCCGCGTGGGCGGATCTCGGCCCGCCCTCAAGCCGCCTGCAGGCCACAGTACGAGGTGCTGACCCGCGAGTTCGCCGACGCGCTGGCGGGGTGAGGAGGAGGAGGAGGAGGAGGAGGAGGAGGAGGAGGAGGAGGAGGAGGAGGAGGAGGAGGAGGAGGAGGAGGAGGAGGAGCAGGAGCAAGAGGAGGAGGAGGAAGGAGGAGGAGGCGGAGGCGGAGGAGCAGGAGCAGGAGGAGGAGGAGCAGGAGCAGGAGCAGGAGGAGGAGGAGGAGAGAGGAGGACGAAGAGGAGGAGGAGGAGGAGGAGGAGAAGAAGAGAGGAGGAGGAGGAGGAGAAGGAGTGAGGAGGAGGAGGAGGAGCAGAGTAGGAGAGGAGGAGGAGGGGAAGGAGAGGAGGAGGAAGGATGAGGAGGAGGGAGGAGGAGGAGGAGGAGGAGGAGAAGGACGAGCTGGAGGAGGAGGATGAGGTACCTGCGGTCGCGGCTGCGGCCGGGGGACCTGCTCCTGGAGGTGGGCGCGGGCGACGGCCGCCTCGGGCGGGCGCTGCGCGCGAGGCTGCCCGCGGAGCTGCGCGTGGCCGTCACCGACTCGGGCGCCCGCGGCCTCGACGCCGCCGGGCTGGTCGAGAGGCGGGACGCCGCGGAGGCCTCCGTCGGCACCACTCTCGCAGGCCTAGGCGTTGACGCCAACACCAAGATCGGCGGCGTGCCTCCACCGAGGGAAGCAGATCCCGATCTCGGTGACGTTGGTAAAGTTCTCGCTTCGAGGTGGCCGAGGGATTACCGCCAACACCGAAATCTAGGATCGTGCTTCCCCTGTGGAGGCCCCCCCCTGTGCTGGTGTTGGTGCCCATGTCCAGGCCTCAGTCGGCATCACTCAGAGGAGGAAAATGCCCAAGTCTCTGCAAACGGGGCGTTAGTGACCAGGGCGGTAGCTAAGGGGCCTCTTCAAGCGAGAACGGTGCGTCAGGGCATGTACCTCGCACTAGTGCGTGATACAGTCGGCCCGGATTAGTAGGCCGACCCTGCCAGCTCAAGGGTACCCTTGTGTCCTGTGCCTCGCGACACGTGCTTTCTTAGACTCCTATGGCGATGAGGCCCTCCGAAGGGTCTTGTGTCCTCTCGCGTGTCCTGTCCAATGAAGGCCGACTGTATATCGGGACGACAAAGACGACGATACGTCATCATACCTCTTGGTGGGGGGGTTTACCTCGCAATTGTGCGCGTCAAGCCGATTCTTTGAAAATGCCATTGAAAACGCACCCTCAGCTACCAGCCCGTTTACTAACGCCCCGTTTGCAGGGGCGTGGGATGTACCCATACCGCTACCCTTTGCCCGTTTTCCTTTTTTGGGCCTTCTGGGGGCCCTCGTCGCCACCGCTGGATTCGCCTCGAACTTTTGGAGGTCCGGGGAGTAGCAGTATCGTACCCCCTATCCACAAACGTAGTTGTTCTGTGGGTTCACCGGAACCGCAAGGAAGGAACGCGCGCTCAGGAGTCCTGCAGTGTAACCCCCGTGGCGGGCGCTTTCTGGCCGTACCGTTAAGTCGGGCCTATCCCCCTACAGGGGGATTTTCGACGACAAATAAAACAAGTCCCCAAAAATAATTAAAAAAAGAAATAGTCCAAACATAGTCCGGGGATTATTTTTGGAGTATTGTTTTAACCTTTTGGGGGTATTTTTGGGGTATTTCCATTTTTGTCGTCGGAAATCTCCCTGTAGGGGGGCACGCCTGCTCGGCTTAACCGTGCGGCTCGGGGGACGACGTGCTGCAGTACTGTTGTACTACGTGTTCGTGTCCGACGTGCGCCTCCAAGCGAGCACGCACCGTGTCAGTAGGTCCTTTAGCGTCCCACTCAGGGGCAGTAGGCCTAGGTCGGGCCTGTCCCCCTATAGGGGGATTTTCGACGAGAATGCAAGATACCTCCAAAATGCCCACAATGGCTAAACAACATGTTTTTTTGGGGTGTTTTTTGGGGGGTATTTTGGGGGTATTAT